ACAGAAGAGTCATGATTAGCATTGTTTATAGCAAACTCGGCCCAGGAAAGTAGTTCGGACCAATAATCTTGAGTGCCATTAACAAAATAATGCAAGTATAATTCCAGAGACTAGTTAGCCCTCTCAGCTGTGCCATTGGTTTGGGGATAATAAGAGGAAGAAAAGGACAATTCAATGCCCAACTGTTTATTGAAAGCCCTCCAAAACCGAGACACAAACTGAGAACCTCTGTCAGAGACAATATTGTGAGGGATGCCATGTAATCGGACAATTTTACGTATAAAAATAAGAACTAAGTCTTGAGAGGAAGACAATTTTTTGAGTGGAACAAAATAATTCATTTTGTAAAAACGGTCAACAACCATAAGGATGGTGGTATAGCCATTAGAGCTAGGAAGTTCCACAATGAAATCCATGGACAAATGGGACCACGGAACACTGGGTACGGGAAGTGGATGTAATAATCCACACATACGTTTATGAGGTACTTTAGAAACATCACATACAGAACAGGCCTGCACATATTCTGCAACATCTTTCCTGAGAGAATCTCATCAAAAAGGTCTCATGATCACGGATATGGATTTATTAATACCCGGGTGTCCAGCAGTCACGTTGTTGTGGAACACCTTCATGACATTTTCCCTTTCTCCCAATGGAACAAATAATTCATGTGATTGTTTATTGCATGGCGCCTGAGACTGAGCCTCCATGATGGTGCCAAGCAGGGTAGATGATAAGGAAAGGAGAGTGGAAGTGATGATAGGGAATGTCTTTTGTTCCTGCACTGATTCGGTATCAAACTGTCTAGATAAGGCATCCGCCTTCACGTTTTTGGGACCAGGTCTGTAAGTAATTAGAAAGTTAAAGTGAGAAAGGAACAGAGACCATCTAGCCTGTCGGAAAGATGGTTGTTTAGCATCCCCTATATAGGCCAAATTCTTATGGTCAGTAATGATCAAAAGGAACACTCTAAAAGATGCCACCACTCCTTAAGCGCAAGTATATTGGCCAACAATTCTCTATTGTCAATGTCATAATTGCATTCAGCATGAGACAACTTTCTAGAGAAGTAACCACATGGATGTAAAGGGGTATCCTGACTTTCCCTCTGGGATAGAACAGCCCCTACCCCCGTTTCAGATGAAAGGTTTGCTTGTGTTGGGGTGTCTCAATATGTCAGCCGAGGCAAATCTATGTTTGAGAAATTCAAAAGCCTCTTTAGCCTCTTTAGACCATATCATACTGCAAGCCCCCTTGCGTGTCATATTGGTGATGGGTGCTATCACAGAAGAGAACCCTTTGATAAATCTCCTGTAATAATTGGCAAATCCAATAAACCTTTGAATAGCTTTTAGTCCATTGGGTAGTGGCCAATGTAGGACAGCTTCAAGTTTCTGAGGGTCCATCTGAAATCTAGAGGCAGAAATGTTATACCCCAAAAACTGTACTTCTATTTGATCAGATGCATTTTTCCAGTTTACAATTGTGACGAGACCAATCTCGCCACATTGCATTGGAGAAGCCTGGTTACTCGCCTGCTGCCTTTGGACTATGGCCCCCTGTTAAAAGATATCTTTTTTACCTGCAGAAAAGCTTCATTCGTGCTTTTCTGCCTGGGGTTCGGTAGATTCAATCTACCGAACAACCGTACGAATGACTGGACCACCTGGGAGCTGGAGTGTGCCGGCAATTAACCGCAGCTTAATTGACGAATGCTGGGTGCCCGCCATTCGTATCCCGAACACGAGGTCGCGGCCATTTTAAACATACGAATGCACAGCGTTGTTCGCCCCTATTTTCATGGAACTAAAATCGGACACAGTTTTGCGCGAACACCGCTGAAGCCGCCGACCTCCCTTCTTGTTCGGTGGAAGTGCACGAACGGCCCGGTGTTCGGTAGTTCTGTTTGAATAGGTTATACCCCAGATAGGAATCCCATGGAGCCCATTCGTATGAAAATGACTGTAAAGACTTTGGCTCCATGGCGATTAAACTGTATTCGTGTGGTCTGAGCGCCATTCGCTTAATAATGTGCACTCAGACCTGAGCTATCTGGGGATATGTTACATGTCTGTGTTTTATGTAATAAATGTTACTTTATGTATTTTAAAGTATAATACTGGTTTTGTGTCCCCACATGTGTAATGGAGTTTTGCCTTTGTCTTGGGAGATAATTGAGTTACTTCTCAATTATCTCCCAGGGCAGAGGGGAGGAAGCCAGGATGCATTGTGGGAATATACCTATTTGTCTACTTGTCTGTCCCTTGTCACAGTCTCCCATTTGGTCCCCTAGGGGAGTGTCCACCAGATGGGAGACCTGCATAAAAGCCGGTATAGGTAGCCTTCATTAAACAGACCACTGCTTGACCCTCAACACGGAGCCTTGTCTCGTCTTTGGGGGGATTTACTGTATGCTGCTAAGGACTGATTGCCAGGAGTGTAAGCCGCTTGGGAGCTTTTCCTGTTCGTCTGGTAGCAGCAATTCGTATGGTTCCTGTTCGTGTATTTGGAGTGCTACCTTATTCCCTTGTATGCCGTTCGAGAGTTTGGAGCATTCACTTGTATGCAGTTCGAGTGTTTGGGAGAGTTTGGAGCATTCACTTGTATGCAGTTCGAGTGTTTGGACCATTCCCTTGTATGCCGTTCGGGAGTTTGGAGCATTCACTTGTATTCAGTTCGTGAGTTTTGGTGATTCTACAGTAGCTGTGTCTGTCTCTGAAAGGGGATTATCGTCTAAGCGGTTTTTTACCCCTTGTGTGCAAAACGGTCCGTTACAACAATAAAGTTGATTTTTCAGTAAGGTTTGCAACACTTGTTTGATATGTTCATGGTGAGTCTGAAGGTCAAGGGAATAAATAAGGATATCATCTAGATAGACTAAGACAAATCAATAAATATAATCCCTGAGTATGTTATTATTAAAATCTTGGAACACAGCCGGACCCGAAGGGCATGAAAAGGTACTCATAGTGCTCTTTTCTGGTATTAAATGACATTTTCCATTCATGGTTTTCATTAATCCTCACCAAATTGTATGCACTCCTAAGGTCAAGTTTAGTAAAGACTTTAGTACCCTGGAGTCTGTCAAACAATTTGGAAATGAGGGGAATGGGGTAGGGATTTTTAATGGTGATTTTGTTTAATGCTCTGTAGTCAATGCATGGACGTAACTCACCATCTTTTTTAGATACAAAAAAGAAACCCGCACCAGCAGGCAATGATAATTTACGTATATGGCCCTTCTTAAGGGAGCCTTTGATATACTCCTCCATTATTCTACACTCCTGTGGAGATAATGCATATACTGCTCCCTTGGGTGGCATAGCACTGGGTAGCAGGTTTATGGAACAATCATATGTTCTTTGAGGAGGTAGAATATTGGTCTGAGTTTTGTTAAATACCTCCTTAACTTCCCAGTATTGTTTGGGAACTTCGGAGGTTTGAGGCGTAGTAGTAAGTAGTGTAATGATGCCCACTCTTTTGTTATTGTGTAACATACACCTCTGAGTACAATCCTTGCCCCATTCAAATATTTCCCCATTAGCCCAGTCAATATGAGGATTGTGCTTGGTAAGCCAAAGAAAGCCTAATATGATGGAGCATGAATGAGAAGCAATAACTTGAAAAGTTATGTCTTATTTTTGTAAGGCACCAATGGAAATGTTAATGGGCAAGGTTTCATGGGTAATTAGGGATTATTCTAGCCTCGGTGAGGGAATAATCTAAATTTTATTAAAGACAGGAGGCGAATATTTGCTTTACCTTCTTTACTGAAACCTCCAGTAGCAAAGAAACAGTTAACAGAACTTTTCAAAACAACCAATCAGAACAAAGCAACAGTAGTATAAAAACCCCAAAGCAGGCTCTTCCACTTCCTCTTTCTTTGATGAGGTCGAGCAGGAGAGCAAGAAAACCAACGAATCCACCTTGTAGCAGACACATCCAGAGAAACAATCGTCAAGCCCAGAGAGAAAACAGATTACACTGCAAGAAAACAGAAAACATTGTGAAAGTAAACTGTCAAGGCAAGATGTCATATCCATACAATATCACTTGCACATCATAATACCTGATGAATAAACAAAGTCTACAGATCTTATTAAGACCTAGTATCTAGTATGTACCTAAACTAAAAGACATTGACGAAACATAATTACAACACAAACATGATGAATAAAACGCACACGTACTATCACTGAATAATAGAAATAACCTTTATTTTGTAAAACCATGCATTCACAAAACATAACAATATCCCCAATTATTTATAATAGAATAAGACCCAAATCCAGGGAGGGAATGTAAAAAAGTGGGGGAAATATTCGCCTCCTGTCTTTAATAAAATTTAGATTATTCCCTCACCGAGGTTAGAATAATCCCTAATTTTATGGCAGGACGGGAGGCTTCATATTTGCAATTGTAATGCCCAAATAGTAGAGCCAGAAGCAATACGAGATCGAGGACTGAAATAAAAGGAGAATGGAAAAACCGAATCCTTAAACCAAGCAGCGGTGTAGAGAAAATGCAGAAGGGACCCAATGGCTTCCAAAGTTGTTGAGGTGACAGCACCCGAACCAAAAGTGTCGAAATGAAATGTGTGGAGCAGAAGCCGATGTACTGAATGGCAAGAAGGAAGAAGACACTACGTCGATACCATGACGTCAGAACGCGATGAAATACAAGATGTAGTGGGGAAAACCGTAAGCGGAAAAAACTGGCGCAAGGCAAGTCCTTGTCATCAGGTCATTCCTCAAGGAAATGCAGAACACACGATACCACTAGAATTGAGGAATAACGAGAGATGGGGCTCCCGTATGGTATACTCCTCTTGGTAGACTGCAGACCAAGAGATCCTTAGCAATGCCAGAATCTTGAAAAAACGCAAATGAGTCATCCACTAGCTGACATAGGACATGATTGGCCCCATAGATCCTACCCTGAGAGGGCAACTCAGCCTGACAATGGGGACAGCCATGATAAGGACCGCCATAGGGACCCAAACATCTCTCCAGACATCAGTCGTGGCAGGCTACCCCTGTGGATCCCACACGGGACATTAAGAGACAGGGAGTCATAGATTGCCTTCCCATGGCAAACTCCAGCAAAAAGGGGAAAGCATGGAGGACTCCTCCAAAGTGGTGTGGCCAGGCGAAACGACACTTCCAGGAATTCGGTCTGAAGCAAAGCACAAAGTATCCTGTCGGTAAATGGGATGCATACGCCCCGAAGGAGACCAAACTTGGAAAATGCGTCTCTCGCCTCGCTGAGGGTCCGGCAGCCAGCTGGAGAACCGCTCCGTATGGCGGTTCGCACCGAATGTAATCATGCCAGTACTCGAGACCCTGGAGGGTGAGGCAACCAATCATTGGGGTCTCTCCATGGTCGGGTGAAGCCGTCCGCCACATGAGTGTCTCGTCCCGCAGACATTCTGTCACAAATGACGAATACTTGTCCAGAAGCTATAGATAGTGATCCTACGTGAGATCCGACTGCAGTCCGTAGTGGGCAACCAGTGATAAGTCCATGCCGGAAGGTAGCGAGCAATACTACTTCCCCTGGGGAAGCTGCGAATGGTGAACAAACCTGCAGGTAGTTCCATGCAGTTGGCATGAAGAGGTCCCTCCTCCGGACTCCAGGGTCCAGGCCAAAGTTGGTTGGGGTCCGAAACTCTTAGGTAGTCCAGGTCCCCCTATGTCGGAGTCATCAATTAAGTTTTAGATGAGCTTCGTCCGAAGGTCACATGATTCGGTCGTACCAGGCCGAAGACCCGAGAAAGCGTCATGTTGGAGCGGCTGATAGTACCGGATCCCGGAGGTATGGCCTCCATGGCGAATAACAACCGGTCAATTGACCGGGTTGGGCCCCTAAGTGTGTCCCGCGGGTTGCGGAGCATATGCCTGGTATTATCCTTGAAGACGGACATCTTGGTCCTCGGGAGGCGGAGCACCGCCTGGCCCGAATATTCCATGAAAGACCAGAAACTGGGTTGACTGGGAGTGAGTCAGATTCAATATGTCCATGTTGATGGCGAGATCCATGCAGGTTTCTCTCATGTCCAGTTGAGGGAGAGAATCAATCGTCCACGCCAAGCAGCTCTGAGGGGATGAGTGCCCTCCGACTCGAAGTGTCAACAGGCGAAATATGCACTGGAAGCATGTAGCGTGGGGATGGGGCGGGAGTCCACTCCACTGCACCCTTCGCCCAGCAGGGCAACTTCAGACGCCTCTTTTGGTCATGCGTATCGCTCATGGAACGATCCAAGGTTCCGAAACCTTGATCCTGAGTCCGGGCACGGTCCGAGAGACCTCTGGGGCTAGTTAAGGGTGAACCCTATGAATAGAGATGTGTCAGCTCAATTTGTACGCGAGGGTAACTCCGGAGAGCAGACCCAGCACTTGGATGCCAAATCCGTCAGTTTGATGTCCAGCTTGGACAGGGGCCGTTTTGCGGTTCTCAAACCAACTAGGCGATACCCATAAGTCATATCGGTCCATTCCCAATGGGAATTTAGTCTTTTCCGCTTTCCAAGCTGTAACACGCCATTTGTCTCAAGGAAACATCTGTGTCCGCGTGTCATCGACATCCAGTGGTAAGTCCCGGATAGAGTGCAAACCCTGTGTCAGGTGTTTGCGGTGTCCTTTCCGGACTCCGTCATGAAGACTGATCCTCTTGATGAATCCATCCGTTAGCCAACGAGTACCAGTGGTGCTTGGTGTAGCATCTAGGATGGCCGGTGGAGTGTCCCTTGTAGGGTACTGATGGTTTCTGGCAGTGAGGTCAGTGGGGCGGCATGAGGACAGGCCAAGTGACCTTCTGGGTACGGTAGATTTGTCCTTCAGTTGTGATTGCATAACTGCCATAGAGGTAACACTGTCTGAGTGATACCTGGTGCGGCCAGCTGGGGGTCACCCAGCGTGCAAGAGGGGGTCACCCAACAAGCACAAGCATACCATGCAGTTTAGGCCAGCAGGGGAGGGGGTCACCCTCAGTCTGAACATAATCGGACACTGTTACAGTAGTGCCGTAGTGGTTAGCCGTATAATAAAGTAACCAGACATTGCCAGTCCAGCAGTGCAGACGGCAGGAGGGGGTCACCCTCATATAACCATAACCGGGCATTGCAGATCCAGCAGTGCTGTATGTAATAGGAGGTCGCCCTCAGTGTGGTATCATAGAGGTCTGTACACCCAGTAGTGTAGTCAGCGAGAGGGGGTCACCCTCATTATGGTTATAACGGGACCCTGTAGGTCCAGCAGAGTAGTCCACGGGAGGGGGTCACCCTCAGTATCTGCGTATAGCAGGGCACTGTAAGAACAGAAGCTCAATCAGTGGGAGGGGTGCCCTCTTTTATGGGAATACCCGGATGCTGCAGGTCCAGCAGTGCAGACTGTAGGAGTGGTTTCCCCTCGGTATGATAATAACAGGACATTGCCGGAGCATTAGTGTAGGAAGCAGGAGGGGGTCACCCTCAGCATTAGGGGAGGTGAAACAGATTACAGGCAGAGCCAAAGCATCATAGCAGGGACACCCATTCCCCATACAGCAGAGTGAGAAAAACTGCATAAAGTAACCCAGAATAACAATAAATCAATGAGCAGTATCCAGAATCTATCAGATAAATAGCCTAAATACAGCAACAGATGTTAACAAATGATAATGCAGCTACATAGCATGAAGTGGTATAGGAAATAACACAGAATAAACTGCCTAGCTAAACCCAGCAATAGACTGCCTAAACAAACACAGCAATAGACTGCCTAGCTAAACCCAGCAATAGACTGCCTAGCTAAACCCAGCAATAGAGTGCCTAGATAAACACAGCAATAGACTGCCTAAATAAACCCAGCAATAGACTGCCTAGATAAACCCAGCAATCGATTGCCTAGATAAACACAGCAGACAAATCCAATAAAACAAATCAAGCAAGAACCCTGCCTAAATAAAACCAGCAATTAACCCCTTAAGGACACATGACATGTGTGACATGTCATGATTCCCTTTTATTCCAGAAGTTTGGTCCTTAAGGGGTTAAGCTGCCTAAACAAACCTAGCAAATAGACTGATCAAATAGAATGTTTAAATAAACAAGCAGCATGTAGGATAAAAAAACAACCCAGAGCAGAGACAACTCTGAGTTGGTGAGTGCTCACCTGGAGGCAGCAGCAAAGAAAGAGGAAGTGGAAGAGCCTGCTTAGGGTTTTTATACTACTGTTGCTTTGTTCTGATTGGTTGTTTTGAAAAGTTCTGTTAACTGTTTCTTTGCTGCTGGAAGTTTCAGTAAAGAAGGTAAAGCAAATATGAAGCCTCCTGTCCTGCCATAAAATTAAGGGTTGAGAGAGTGGTTTCCCATCAATAGCCTCAACGGCCAAGGATGATAGTCTCTCCTTGATAGGTATTATATTTTCTTTTACAAAATGTACATCAATGAAGTTTCCTGTCACACCTGAGTCCAGGTGCAGGAAAAGTTCTTCTTGTTACATTTAATCGTAATATCGATGAGGAGTCTATTTTTGTTATTCCTAGAGGACGTATCAATTACACCTAAGACTTGTCCCCTTAAGGCTCTTAGGTGAGAGTTTTCAGGACGGATGGGACAAGCACTCCTCATATGTTCTTTTCTACCGCAGTATAGACACAGGCCCTCCTTTCTCCTATATTGACTTTCTGCCTCTGACTGTCTAGTGTCCCCCAACTGCATTGGTTCAGGTTCGGACTGAACAGGAGGATCAGGAACAATAGGTCTGGAAAAACACGCTGCTAGTGACATAGCCATATGTCTAGTTTTATTTCTGGTAGTTTCTCTGGTTCTTAATCTATTATCAATTTGCATGACAAATGTTATAAACTTGTATAATTTTTTAGGTAGATCTTTGGCAGCAATCTCATCCAGGATTGCTTCAGGCAATCCTTTTTTAAAAGCAGAGATCAACCCGCTATTAGTCCAGTGTACCTCAGACGCAAAATTTTATGGCATGATCTGAGATGGACCGGTTCCCTTGTTTTATATGCATTATGGCAGTGGAGGCGTCATCTTCCCTACCTAATGGTTCAAATGTTAATTTGAATTCCGCAAGGAATTCTTGGTAGTTATGTGCGATACTCCTATTACTCTCCTATTACTATAACCTTTAAGTTGATTCATTAGGTAACCAATCTTCGCTCTATCCGAGGGAAACGATCCCAGTGAAGCCTCAAAATAATACTCAATTTGATTCATGAATAACCTGGCATTCTTGAATATTTCCATCAAAAGAAGATAGGGGGATAGTAGGTGCCTTATGTACTATAGGTGTGTGAGGATATTTATGGGGTGATAAATATTAAAATAATATTTTCATAAAATTATCAAAAATGTATTTAATAATTTTTATTATATCAAAAATTGATATCTTGGCACTGTTTCAGATTAATGAATTAAAGCTGAGAATTGCCTACTATTTTAATTATCCTAGATCCTAGAGTAAGTTTCATTAGTATATTTTATTTCACTAATTAATCACAAATGAATTATAACAATATAATTTATTGTGACAATAATAATAATATGAAACATGCGTGACAATAATCATTGAATATTTAGGTATACCATAAGTATACAATTTGACAGTGGTTTAACACAATTAGACAACTAAATAGCAAGTTATATGCAACAGTTGTATGCAGTTTTCAAACAAGAGTTACGACAGGACAAAAATCAACTTAAAGGACCACTCTAGGCACCCAGACCACTTCAGCTTAATGAAGTGGTCTGGGTGCCTGGTCCAGCTAGGGTTAACCCATTTTTTCATAATTATAGCAGTTTCAGAAAAACTGCTATAATTATGAATGGGTTAAGCCTTCCCCCTAATCCGCGTGCGCATTCAGCCGGCAGGGAGGATCGGAGGAGGAGAGCTCCCCGCCCAGCGCTGGAAAAAGGTAAGTTATTACCCCTTTCCCCTTTCCAGAGCCGGGGGCACCCTCAGGGCACTATAGTGCCAGGAAAACGAGTATGTTTTCCTGGCACTATAGTGGTCCTTTAACACAGAAAACAGCATCTCACAGCAGCACAGCGTAAAACAATAACAACTTTGGCTGACAGCCAAATCACACTGAATGAACTCTTTCACTGCTGGCTACAATTCTCATAGGCAAGATATCCTATTATATTGTAATTTTACAAATACAACATTTCTCATATTTGATCATTGACCATTCCTCTGT